CTTCTTCTAGAATTTGTCTAATTCACTTTCAAAGCCATCCAGATTGGTGGCCATCACTGCCTCCTGTGGAAGAGAGTTCCATAGTTTAACTATCCACTGCATCAAGAAGTGCCTTCTTTTATCTTTCCTGAATTTTTCAGCATTCAGCTTCATCAAATTTCCATGAATTCTCATGTTATGGAGAGGGAGAAAAACCTTTCTCTATCCACTTTTTCCATGCCAGGTATGATTTTATGAACTAGCACCATTATACCTTTTACTTGCCTTTTCTCTAAACTAAAAACCCGCAAATGCTGCAGCCATTCCTCATAGGGTACTTGATTCATCCTCTTGGTCATTTGGGATGCCCTTTTCTATCCCTTTTCCAACTACACAATGTCCATACTTAGGTGAGGTGACCAAACCTGTACCCAGTATTCCAACCGCAGTTGAGACACCTTAGCTTGCATGGAGCCATGTATCTTAGAACTCTGCTTTTGAATTTATGAATAGTGTAGCCTATGAGCTGATTTATGTTTATACCATGCACTGACTTTTTGAATAAAGCCTTTGGGAAAAATTATGCTGAGAACCCAAGTATGGGATCTGTGGTCCTAAGCCATAGCCCTCCCCCTACAACTTGTGTAACTTGCTTTGCTAAAAGGATCTGTTTCTTTCAATGGCTCTCACCCTTGATTAATGGGTTCGTCACAGCACATGGGAAATCAGGGGAGTCAGCAGTGAGTGAAACTGGAGACATGTCTATTTTTTATTTATTTTTTACATAAATGCATAAGGAGATAAATGCATCTATTAAATGTTTTAAAAACCTGAGTTATGTGGAAAATAAAAGATTAAGCCTCCATCAAATTGTTCAGGAAGAATCTTGTTTTAACTGCCACACAATATCTAAATCCAGACACCTAACTCAGAGTTATTATGATTGCACATGGACAATAATAATGTGTAATGAGATACTTACAAACACATTACAAGTACAAAGGATAGCTGTATGTTTAATAAGTAGCTAAGCAGGCAGCATTAATGAGTAAAGAGAGTAGGGAGTTTCACTGATTAATGCACCTGCAGATGTGGTAGAGACTCTGCCCATCCAGGCCCTTCTGGGGGTCAGAAATGGAGCAGGACAGCCCAAGATTTGCAGGATCCATAGGTTTTGTTGTTTTAGAGTTAAATTGATTTCATTATTTTTAGAGCTTGCGTTGCTGTGTTTTAGTCTGCCTGTACAATTTAACACCACTCCAATGGCTTTCTGTTGTGAAGCAGCCATTGAATCACAGAATTGAAGAGTCGGAAGGGACCCCAAGGGCCATCTAATCCAACCCCCTGACAATGCTGGAACCAGAGCTAAATAATCCCTGACAGATGGTCACCCAACCTGTTTAAAAGCCTCCAATGAAGGAGAGCCCACCACTTTTTGAGGTAGTCCCTTCCACTGTCAGACAGCTCTTACAATCAGAACATTCTTCCTGATGTTTAATCAGAAATGCCTTTCTTGTAATTTGAACCCATTGGTTCAGGTCCTAGCTTCCAGAGCAGTTACATTCTTTTGCTGCTGCATCACACTGTTGACTCATGTTAAGCTTGTGGTCTAGTAAGACCCTTAGATCCTTTCACATGTGGTGCTGTCAAGCCAGGTGCCAGGTGCGCCCCATCTTATTTGTGCATCTGATTATTCCAGCCTAAATGTAGATCCTTACATTTGTCCCCATCGACATTCATTTTGTTGGTTTTGTCCCAGTTCTTCAATCTGTTAATGGTCATCTTGAATCCAGATTCTATCTTTTGAGGTATTAAGTATCCCTCCCAGTTTGCTGTCATCTGCAAATTTGATTAACAGCATTTCATTTCCTTAAACCAAGCCATTTATATCCATTCAAGTCAGTTATTAATTTGTTTAATGAACAAAAACTGTTTTTCACAGTTTTCCATCTTTACTCAAGCATTTGGTAGCTGAAGAATACTGTGCCTTGCAACCTTGAGATCGTTAGATGAAATACTGTTTTAAACTGAAACAGCTTTTGGGTGTCTTTAATTATAATTGTTTTCAAATGTTTTTATCTGTTTTTGAATGTTTTCACTTTTTATTAGAAAATTTTGTATTTGTTTATCATCCTGGGTTCCTTGGAAAGGGAGGGTGGGATAGAAAGTCAATAAATGAAATAAAACAACATTAAATGCACATCCACCTTTTCCTGCCAGCTTTGTGGGAAACGCAGGGAGCATCAGTAACATAAAAGAAGCTCACATGTCTGGATTGTGAGGTTAGATAGTTCTGGAAGAGCACGTGTATTATATTCAGTTGGAGTAATGCGCAAATGCCCTTAGTCACTGCCCTTTCAACAATGCAAAGGGGTGTAATGACCAAAGTAGCATCAAATATCGAAAGGCTAATGTCTTCAGGGAAGGCAGGCAATGGCTATATGTGGTGAATGAGAACTTTGCTCAGTCATTTTTAATGGAGACATGAATAATTAAGGCAGGTGCAGTCCCTGGGGCTCGCTAGTGTCAAAGCACATCTGTAATGGTCTAAAGTGCTTCTCTGTCAGTCCTCAAAGTTGTCCATGTCATCCCTAAGAACATAAGAAGAACCTGCTGCATCAGGCCCATGACTTATCCAATATAGCATCCTGCTCTCACAGTAGCCAACCAGAAGCCTGTGGGAAACCAGCAAGCAGGATTGGAGTACAAGAGCAACAATCTCTCCTCCTGGGGTTTTCAGAAATTGGCATTCAGAAGCATTGTTGCCTCTGGCTGTGGAGGCAGAGCATAACCATCATGCCTAACAGCCATTCATGTCCTTCATGAATTTGTCTAACCCACTTTTAAAGCCAGCTAGGTTGGTGGTCACCACTGCCTCCTGTGGCAGCGAGTTCCATAGCTGAACCAAGCTCTGCATGAAGAAATACTTTTATTTCATCTGTCCTGAAAGTTCCCACTTTCAGCTCTATTGGGTGTCCAGCGTTATGAGAGAGAGGAAGAAAAAAGAAGAAGCTTTCTTCGTCCATTCTCTCCATGCTATGCAGTCTGCAGGCTCTTTTAAGGCTGTTTGTTAAATACAGCCTGGGCATTTATGGGATTAAGCAGTAATCTAAAAGTAAATATCCGATAAGAAGTGAGCAAAGATACATTGTGTGGGTGTGCAAATGAGGACACAAGGCTTATTCTGGAGGTTGGATGTGCTCATGTGGTGCATGGTGGCATCCAAACCATTATTTCTGTACTTTTTTTGTAGGGGGACTCCTTGACCTCATGCTGCTCCCTTGCATGTTTATGGTGCTGACAGGGATAACTGGGCTGGGAGCTAAAACAGGTCTTATGAGATATGTCCCTCCTTTTCCCAGAGGCACAGCTTCAATTTTATGCATGCATTATGATCTGGGTATGTGAGAGGCCTTGCCCCTCCTGAAATTTTCAAGGAGGAGGCCTCCTTGAAATATCCTGCATCAACGTGGACATGCTGTGCTCACATGATGTGTGATGTGCTCATGTGGGGTTGTCGCCCGTCTCTTAAAAAATGGGATGGTCCTGTTTTGGGGGCACAGATTCCTCAGCCCCGTTTGGCCCCCAATTTGTCCCATTTTTGAAGTCTTAAAGAAAAGGCATTTGTGCACTCCTCCTAACTTGCTTGTCTCACGCAACGAAACATGCTAGGTGCTTGGGGAGTTTAGCCTGCCCTCTCCTCCAAAGCTGGCTGATTCACACTCCAGGCTAGTCAAGTAGACCAGCAGCTGTATATATATGAATATGATTTTCTTGGTTTACAAACGTACACGCCTTGTCTCTTCAGGTTGTACAGTCTTTCTTACAAAGCCTTTTCAAAGGGGAGAGAAGGGTCATGGTTGTTGGAGGCAGGGAGGCAGCGTGCAGCTGAACTTGAGTAAGGAGTCTGTTTTGTTTTGTTTTGTTTGCAAGATGAAGCACATGGCCAGGCATTTGGGGAAGGGGGGCTTTCTTTCTTTTGATCCACTACCTTTTTATATTAGTGTTTTGTCAGCAGCACCAGATGACCCCGCTCAGCTAAATGCTAGAGTGGATTTCACCCCATGCCTTGCAGAGCTGGGCTGGCGCTGCCAATGGACCCTGCACCCCTCAGCAACATCTGAAATCCCTGATCCGCTAGCTGCTGGGGTGGATTGCACCATGCTGCACCTTGCAGCGAGAGACCCAGGCTGCCACTGGGCCCAGCACTGGCGGCAGCAACAAGCAGCTACGGCTCACCCAGCCCTACCCATTGCTGCCTCACCACCGCACTTAACCTGACCTGGGGGTTCTGGATCGTGGGCTCTATTGGTGAAAACAGGAGCCTCAGCAATTGCCCTCTCCTGCTGGAAACAAACCAGGATTGCTTGAAGAAAACTCATGTGGCAAAAAGGAGTGTTAGGTCCTGGTGGACTGGCCCCTTACCCACTTATAATTGGGCAAGAGGATAGCCAGCCAATCAAGATTTTTAAAAAAGGATTTTTTAAAAATGCTTTTTTTCTCTTCACTTCTCACTTCCCTCTGTGGCCCCCTAGCCTCATGCTGTAGCCCCCCATTCATGCAATTTTTACCTGTGGCCCCCTTGGACTATCTTGGGGACCCCAGGGGGCCATATTTCCCCTGGTTGGGAAACACTGGTTTACATGATTTTAAGAGGGGATTGGAAGAATCCATGGAAGAGAGGACCAATGATGGGTGCTAACCATGGCAGCTAGATGGAACCTGAAAGTTCAGAGGCAGTCTGTCTCTGAATACCAGGTGCTGGGAGGCAGCAGCACAAGAGGGCTATTGTCTTTGTGTTCTGCTTGTGGACTTCCAGTAGTATCTTGGTTAGCCACTGTGAGAAAAAGGAGGCTGGACAAGATGGCTTTTGGGTCTGATGCAGCTGCAAGGCTCTTCCTGGAAACACAGGAAACAACCTTATACCGAATCAGACCAATGGCCCATCTAGCTTAGTATTGTTGACACTGACTAGCAGCAGCTCTCTGGAGTTTCAGACAAGACTCTTTGCTAGCCCAACTTGGAGTTGCCAGAGATTGAACCTGGGACCTTCTGCATGCAAAGCAGATGCTCTACCACTATGCCATGACCCACTCCTTTCATACACCTTTATGCTTTTATGCCTAGCCATGAGGAAATGGATATTTTAAAGAGTGCTGCAGCTTCCCACCATGATTTTTTAATTCTTCAAGGTCCTACAGGAGCCTAACTTGAAATATGTGTTTTGTGATAGTACAGATGGGGAGGTTTGTTCTGAACATCTGTTTTTCTTTCCTTACTCGTCTAATAAACAAAGAAGCTGTTTGAAGTAGCTTCACATGCCTTTGATAACCTAATCTTTTAAGGTTGGGGGTGGGTGGGACAGGAATGTTTTCTTCTGCAAAGGAACCTCCAGTCTGCAGAACAAACAGGAACAACTTTCTCCCCCCTCACCACCAATCCCCCACTCCAGTTAGGTGGTCCTATGGTGTGAGGAAAATTTATGTACCAAGCAACAGGTCTGACTCATCTGGGAATCTTTGATGCTATAGCTTATCTTGTTTGACTAAACACTTTTAAGCTTATGTTCCATGCTTGTGAAGCTTTCTAGCTGGAAATCTGAAAGCAAAGATTGCCTCCTTTATCTCAGCAGGGCCACCTCTGAAAGTAACTGTGTGCCAACATTCTCTACTTGAACTTAGCATCTTTTGAGCACACTTTTTACAGTTTTAAGAAGCTGCACATTCCAGCCCTGGATGTTTTTGCAGCTTGGTAACTATGAAATAGCTCTTAAGGTGAAGCAGCCCCTTTGTTTCACCCATTTGTGTGGTTGGTCTGATGCTGAAGATGGTCCTTTCACAACTATGATAGCACCTGAAAGGAGCTGACCATGTTGTTGTTGAGTCGTTTAGTCATGTCCGACTCTTCGTGACCCCATGGACCAGAGCACGCCATGCCTCCCGCAGTTTGGTCAAACTCATGCTGGTAGCTTCGAGAGCACCATCCAACCGTCTCGTCCTCTGCCATCCCCTTCTCCTTGTGCCCTCCATCTTTCCCAACATCAGGGTCTCTTCCAGGGAGTCTACTCTTCTCATGAGGTGGCCAAAGTACTGTAGCCTCAACTTCAGGATCTGTCCTTCCAGTGAGCACTCAGGGCTGATTTCCTTCAGAATGGATAGGTTGGATCTTCTTGCAGTCCATGGGACTCTCAAGAGTCTCCTCCAGCACCATAATTCAAAAGCATCAATTCTTCGGCGATCAGCCTTCTTTATGGTCCAGCTCTCACTTCCATACATCACTACTGGGAAAACCATAGCTTTAACTATACGGACCTTTGTTGGCAAGGTGATGTCTCTGCTTTTTAAGATGCTGTCTAGGTATGTCATTGCTTTTCTCCCAAGAAGCAGGTGTCTTTTAATTTCCTGGCTGCTGTCACCTTCTGCAGTGATCATGGAGCCCAAGAAAGTAAAATCTCTCACTGCCTCCATTTCTTCCCCTTCTATTTGCCAGGAGGTGATGGGCCTAGTGGCCATGATCTTCATTTTTTTGATGTTGAGCTTCAGACCATACTTTGCGCTCTCCTCTTTCACCCTCATTAAAACGTTCTTTAATTCCTCCTCACTTTCTGCCATCAAGGTTGTGTCATCTGCATATCTGAGTTGTTGATATTTCTTCCGGCAATTTTAATTCCGGCTAGGGATTCATCCAGCCCAGCCTTTCGCATGATGAATTCTGCCTATAAGTTAAATAAGCAGGGAGACAATATACAGCCTTGTCATACTCCTTTCCCAATTTTGAACCAATCAGTTGTTCCATATCCAGTTCTAACTGTAGTTTCTTGTCCCACATAGAGATTTCTCAGGAGACAGATGAGGTGATCAGGCACTCCCATTTCTTTAAGAACTTGCCGTAGTTTGCTGAGGTCAACACAGTCAAAGGCTTTTACATAGTCAATGAAGCAGAAGTAGATGTCTTTCTGGAACTCTCTAGCTTTCTCCACAATCCAGCGCATGTTTGCAATTTGGTCTCTGGTTCCTCTGCCCCTTCGAAATCCAGCTTGCACTTCTGGGAGTTCTCGGTCCACATACTGCTTGAGCCTGCCTTGTAGAATTTTAAGTATAACCTTGCTAGCATGTGAAATGAGTGCAATTGTGCGGTAGTTGGAGCATTCTTTGGCACTGCCCTTCTTTGGGATTGGGATGTAGACTGATCTTCTCCAATCCTCTGGCCACTGCTGATTTTTCCAAATTTGCTGGCATATTGAGTGTAGCACCTTAACAGCATCATCTTTTAAAAATTTTAATAGTTCAGCTGGAATATCATCACTTCCACTGGCCTTGTTATTAGCAGTGCTTTCTAAGGCCCATTTGACTTCACTCTTCAGGATGTCTGGCTCAAGGTCAGCAACCACACTACCTGGGGTGTACGAGACATCCATTTCTATCTGGTATAATTCCCCTGTGTATTCTTGCCACCTCTTCTTGATGTCTTCTGCTTCTGTTAGGTCCTTACTACTTTTGTCCTTTATTATGGTAATCTTTGTACGAAATGTTGCTTTCATATCTCCAGTTTTCTTGAACAGATCTCTGGTTTTTCCCATTCTATTGTTCTCCTCTATTTTTTTGCATTGCTCGTTTAAGAAGGCCTTCTTGTCTCTCCTTGCTATTTTTTGGAAATCTGCATTCAATTTCCTGTATCTTTCACTATCTCCCTTGCATTTTGCTTGCCTTCTCTCCCCCGCTATTTGTAAGGCCTTGTTGGACAGCCACTTTGCTTTCTTGCATTTCCTTTTCATTGGGATGGTTTTCGTTGCTGCCTCCTCTATAGTGTTACGAGACTCCATCCATAGTTCAGGCACTCTGTCCACCAAATCTAAATCCTTAAACCTGTTCCTCACTTCCACTGTGTATTCATAAGGTATTTGATTTAGATTGTATATTACCGGCCCAGTGGTTTTTCCTACTTTCTTCAGTTTAAGCATGAATTTTGCTATAAGAAGCTGATGATCTGAGCCACAGTCAGCTCCAGGTCTTGTTTTTGCTGACTGTATAGAGCTTTTCCATCTTTGGCTGCAGATAATATAATCAATCTGATTTCGATGCTGCCCATCTGGTGATGTCCATGTGTAGAGTCGTCTCTTGCGTTGTTGGAAAAGCGTGTTTGTGATGACCAGCTTGTTCTCTTGGCAGAACTCTATTAGCCTTTGCCCTGCTTCGTTTTGAACTTCAAGGCCAAACTTGCCAGTTGTTCCTTTTATCTCTTGATTCCCTACTTTAGCATTCCAATCCCCTATAATGAGAAGAACATCCTTCTTTGGTGTCATTTCTATAAGGTGGTGTAAGTCTTCATAGAACTGGTCAATTTCAGTTTCTTCAGCACCAGTAGTTGGTGCATAAACTTGGATTACTGTGATGTTAAAAGGTCTGCCTTGGATTCGTATCAAGATCATTCTATCATTTTTGAGATTGCATCCCAGTACAGCTCTCGCCACTCTTTTGTTGACTGTGAAGGCCACTCCATTTCTTTTACGGGATTCTTGCCCACAGTAGTAGATATGATGGTCACCCGAACTGAATTCGCCCATTCCCGTCCATTTTAGTTCACTGATGCCTAGGATGTCAATATTTATTCTTGCTATTTCATTTTTGACCACATACAACTTACCAAGGTTTATGGTTCTTACATTCCAGGTTCCTATGCAATATTTTTCTTTACAGCATTGGACTTTCCTTTCACTTCCAGGCATATCCGCAGCTGAGCGACCTTTTGTCTTTGGCCCAGCCACTTCATCAGCTCTGAATCTACTTGTCCTCCACTCTTCCTCAGTAGCATGTTGGACGCCTTCCGACCTGAGGGGCTCATCTTCCAGTGTCATAACTTTTATATGCCTGTTGTCTTTGTCCATGGAGTTTTATTGGCAGGGATACTGGAGTGGCTTGCCGGTTCCTGCTCCAGGTGGATCACATTTGGTCAAAACTCTCCACTATGACCTGTCCATCTTAGGTGGCCCTGCATGGCATAGGTCATAGCTTCTCTGAGTTATTCAAGCCCCTTCGCCACGGCAAGGCAGTGATCCATGAAGGGGGAGCTGACCATGGTCCTGATATAAAAAACTGTTGGTTTCAATGAAGACATACCAATGCCAACAGAAAATGGCAGAGGCCAAGTGCAGGTTAAAAGTTAAAAGTGGTATTGCTATGTATCAGTCCCTTTGGTTTCATTCCAGCTTTGGGGGGCTATCAGTTTTCTTCCAGGTCCAATCAAAGTGCTGAGTCTAACATTTAAAGCTCTAACAGTTTGGAGCAATGATATCTTAAGGCCTGACTGCTCAGTTCTGTGAGGGCTTGACATTCACAGGGGAAGTTCAGCAAGGCTGCAGGCTCACCAAGAGGCCAAGTCTACTGTCTGAGTCAACAGTCTTGAGTCAGGACCATGAGGAAAGAATTCACACCACCCTTGGGACTTTGGCAAGCTCCCAGGGTCTAGCTGAGGCATCTATTTACAGTATTTCAGATTTATTTCATAAAAATTTATATACAGTGGTACCTCAGGTTACAGACACTTCAGGTTACAGACTCCGCTAACCCAGAAATAGTTCTCCGGGTTAAGAACTTTGCTTCAAGATGAGAACAGAATTGCGTGGCGGTGGCGTGGCAGCAGCGGGAGGCCCCATTAGCTAAAGTGGTACCTCAGGTTAAGAACAGTCTCAGGTTAAGAACGGACCTCCAGAATGAATTAAGTTCTTAACCCGAGGTACTACCGTACTGCATGATTGCAGAAAACATCAAAGCAGTTTACCAAAAGAATAAAACAATAAGATTACTAGTAAAAACAAAATTTTCAAACAAATTTAAACTAGTAATAAATGAAAACCACAACATTCTAAGTATCTGAGGAGGCTTCATCAAAGTAATGTTTTTAGCAGGTACCAAAAAGAGTACAGCCAATGTGCTATCTGATGTCAGTACGCAGGGAGTTCCAAAGTGTAGATATTGCCACACTACAAGATTGATTCCTTAGAAGTTTGGATCTATGCAAACTGCCAATTCCATAAGCAAGTAGATACAACTGAAACCTTGTATATGTTGAATGGACTTTTAGTGCAGAAAGCCTTGAAA